CTGATTAAGTTTTGTTAGTAAAGTGATTTCACCATTAATCACGTTAACATTGCTAATTCTTTGTATAAATTGTTTCTTTATGATATAAAATATAAGTTGTACACTAATATATATATATATATATATATAAATATATATGAGTCATACTTTCAGAGCCTTGTGCATCTAAGCTACGCTTTGAAAATACTATATAAATATATATATATATATATATATATATATATAAATATAATAGAATTAATGTGGAGAAACTTATCACTTAATTGAGTGGTGTTATGTCATCCATTACTACAATGTGCTCAATGAAACTTAAAGTTGACATGACTGAAATAGCGCCAACTTTGATTAATGGATGCCTTTTCTCCACATTAAACTATTAATGCTATAGGAACTATCCTTTACTTTTGATATCGAGGCAATTTATGAAAAAAAAACTTGCCTGCATGAAAATGCCTTTTCTCAGTAAACTACAGAAAAAGAACCAGCAATTTTAGCACCTAAAAACTCTTACAATATTTATATGTTAGCTGGATTGATGTGAGTTTGTGACCCTAGGTTTGTCTTACAATCGCAAGGGCATGAAACCCAGGGTCACAAAATCACGTTAATCCAACTAAATATTTAGCACTATCACTGATATTGAGTGCTTTCCAATAAGTACTTTGAATTATATATATATATATATATATATATATATATATATATATATATATATATATATATATATATATATATATATATAAATTTACCAAGAGATAGAAATTTTTCCCCAACCAATGTTTACTTAAAGATTCAATTAAAACTAATAATTAAGTTGAAAAAAAAAAAAACATATTAACGCTTCTGCTGCAGATGTTTTGTTTTTTTAAACCAAAACTGACATTGCCTACTGTCAACACACATTTTCAAGATGCCATGAAACATTTTTTTTTAAATGTTATAACCAGTGTAGACATCGTATAGAACCTGATTTGTAACATTTTTTATTGTCCATAGGATGTTGTTTGGGTTAGTATGTATTGAAAATTCTATGGAAATCAGAATGGCAGTGACTGTGATAAATTGTCATCAGTATCTTCATAATCTTTAGTTTTCAGTAAATGGCAATTACCCATTTTCCTCAAAAAGGGCCAGCACAACCAGGCAACAATTCTATAATAACACAGCCTTGAAAATGTGAAGTAGAAATTTCAAGTATTATTAAAATTTATTAAAAAAATATAATTAAAATTATAATTAAGTCAGTTTATTAATTTTGATTAATTATATGTAACTTTATAGGACTGATGAAAAATAAAATAAGTAACATATACTTGAAATTGAAGCTCTTAATTTACAAAGTGTGTAAAGAGAAAAACTTTTTACCTCAATTTCAGTCTTGAGTTTCTCATAAGATGCATCAATAGGATCTTTTCCATCATCTCCAGATTTCAACAGACTATAGGCAACTTCAATCTCCATTAAATTGTCCAACATTTCTGTCTTTTTCTAAAGAAAAAGATTATTTTATACATAAAATCAATAAAAAGAAAACTTTAGCTGTGAGGGAAGATAGGGTGGGGGTATAGTGCTTCTTCTGATGGCACTTTTAACTATTCCCCCCACCCTCATTCAGAACACAAGGGAAAATTTTGGCATCAAGGCTTAGTTATTTTATAATTCTACAGCCCAACCCAGCAGACTCATTTACAAAAATGCAAATCATGTTACATCTTTCCAGAACCCAACAAAAAAAATGAACTATTCCCTTTTGAATGCAAAGACAGAAAAAAAAAAAAAAAAAACCTAACAAAAGAAACATCAGAAGCATCTGTTTTCAGTGAGAAAGAGAAAAGAAGATAGAGAAGAAGATAACACTATTGTTTAACATCTACTTAATTGAAATGGGGGGAAAAAACCTAATTTTGTATCTTTTATAACGACCAGCATTGGAATATTTTGTTGTTTAAGCTCAAAAATGTAACGATACAACAAGAGAAATTCCAGATATTTTATCGTCATGGAACTCAAAAGAAGCTTATTCAATCCTTAAATTCAGAATTAAGGTTCATCAGAAAATTCAAAAAGGTTAAATTGTGGAATTTTGATAGTTACTTCTAGCTATTATTATAGTTCACATAATTGGGTCAAAATGCCATATGACGATATTCAAAATATTGACCAATCTATTTCCTTTTTTTTAAAGACATGAACAATCTTTTTTTGGGGGGGAGCTTAAAACATTATTAAGCAGGGTCATTAAATAAATCTAAATTTAAGAAATAATAAAATAATGACAGTTACCGTAATAATATCCTTAGTGTCCAGCAGAGGTGGCTTGCTCAGACCAAAATCATGAGGAATTAGTGTGTAGAATCTGTTTGAGGCATCAAGGCAAAGGGAAGTGTTGCCATTTTCATTGAGAAAGAAGAAATATTCAAAAATATATAAAAAATAAAAAAAAATTAAACCGAGAAGAGAAAAAAAAAAGAGAAGAAGAAAAAAGGAGAAGAGAAGAAGAAAATTTAAAGAAAAAAAAGAAGAAGAAGAGAAAAAAGAGAGAAAGAGGAAAATTTGAAAAGAGGAAAGAGAAAAGAAAAAAAGAGAAAGAGAGAAAAAGAAAGAGAAGAAAAAAAGAAAAAGAAGAAGAAGAAAAAAGAAGAGAAAAGAGAAAAAAGAAGAAAAGAAATGAAGAGAAGAAGAGAAAAGGAAAAGAAAAGAAGAAAGAAAAGAGAAAAAAAGAGAAAAGAAAAAAAGAGAAAAAAGAAAAGAGAAAAGGAATGAAGAGAAAAGAGAAAAGAAAAAAAAAAAGAGAAAAAAGAAAGAAAGAAAAAGAAGAGAAAAGAGAAAAGGAAAGAGAAAAGAGAAAAGAAAAGAAGAAGAAGAAAGGAGAAGAGAAGAAAAGAAAAGAGAAAAAAAAAAGAAGAGAAAAAAGAAAAGAGAAGAGAAGAAAAGAAAAGAGAGAAGAAAAAGAGAAGAAAAGAAGAGGAAAAGAAAAAGAAGAGAAAAGGAAAGAGAAGAAGAAAAAAGAGAAGAGAAAAGAGAAAAGGAAAGAGAAGAAGAGAAAAGAAAAAAGAAGAGAAAAGGAGAAAAAAAAAAAGAAGAAAAGGAGAAAAAGAAGAAAAAAGAGAAGAGAAGAAGAGAAAAGGAGAAGAGAAGAAGAGAAAAGGAGAAGAGAAGAAGAGAAAAGGAGAAGAGAAGAAGAGAAAAGGAGAAAAAAAAAGAAAAAAGGAGAAAAGAAAAAAGAAAAAAAGAAAGAGAAAAGAGAGAAGAAAAATGGAAAAAGAGAAAAGAGAAGAGAGAGAAAAGAAGAGAAAAAGAGAAAAGAGAAAAGAAAGAGAGAAAAGAGAAGAGAAAAAAGAAAAAAGAAAGAGAAAAGAGAAGAGAGAAAAGAGAAGAGAGAAAAGAGAAAAGAAAAAGAGAAAGAAAAAAGAGAAGAGAGAAAAGAAGAGAAAAGAAGAAAAGAGAGAAAAAGAGAAGAAAAAGAGAAGAAGAAAAGAGAAGAGAAAAAAAAAAGAAAGAAAAAAGAAATCATTTCACATATTATGAATAATTTTAACATAGCCAGCAAGAAATTTAGTTATTGCAGCTTATTAAACCCAATTTCACATAAAAATGTCCATAACTGACAGAAGAATTCTAAAGAATCACTTTGTTCAAACCAAATTGTTGCAGGACCACAGCTATTGATTCTCATAACTCTAAGTTATGGTGGTTTGTCTGGTCTCAACAGTAATTGACAAATCATCTAATTTGTTGTGAAACAATTACTATATGCAAACAATACATAACTAATAAATGACCCAATGTTCATTTAGTATAAACAATTACAATTTAGTATAAGGAGATGGATGTAAACCTACAACACAACCTGCACCCAGCTTTCTACCAACTGGCCAATGATTACCCCATGCTGGGTCTTAATTCTTGTCTATGTCTGTGTGCCTCGAAAAATAGGAAAGGCCCACTGCCTGTCCACAAGGTAACAAAGATTAAAACAAACATCCCAGCAAAAAATGACTCCTCGAACCCAGTTGTCAATAATATGAAATAGGTGTTTTTACTATGTAGGTGGGTAGGTAGGTGACACTTGAACAGATTGTCCCTTGCCAAGGGCAAACAAATTCTGGTTCCCCATATCCCAAAGCATGACTTAATATAGACCTGCAGGCAGAAATAGTTGATGTCCAGTTTGTTGTCACTTGACCCCAAATGCTTCCTTTTCAGTTAAGTGGGTGATCTTGAAAAATCCCACCCATTAGTTATAAAACAGAAACACTTGAGGTCAGGATAAAAAAAAAAAAAAAAAAAAAATCACCCTTTCCTCTTTTACATGGATATCCCAATCATAGTGTCACAACAGATAGCTAGTAAGAAAAGTACACCAAGGCTTGTAGCATTATCTTATGTTAATATGATACTGCAATGTAGTATTTGCATTTGTACTTTTATAGTCAAACCATGTATATTTCTTAAATAGACCTTTTACCTTTATCCCGACATTCATGTAGGATTACTAACTCCACAAGATTCTTTCATTGTCTGAAAATCAGAAGCCCTTAATGCTGACAAGTATCCCAAGACTGAGAATTTAACCCTTTGATTCAATGTAGAATTAGCTGAATATTATATGTAAAGTGTAAACATATTTATTTAGGTTGACTTGTTACTTTAGCATAATGAAAAACAAATAAGATCGAAGGAATACTAATCAAAAAAATTAAAAATGGAAAATACTTTCCACCCCAAAATTTAAGTATGTGTATATCTATATATTTATTTAGGCAGCAAATGTTCTTTAAGGCAAATATTATTAAAGACAGACATTTTGTGCTGATTAATTTCACTGATCAACTTTTCAAAATTATGAATAATCCATCTCAGACAAAAACAAAATTCCACCAGAAATTGTCAAAAGTTCATTTTGGAAGAAGTGTACAAAAGCTTTGGGCAATTTCTGAGAGAATTTCCTCCGTGTGTGAGAAAGATTAATTGTAATTTGGAAAAGTTGATGAGTAAAATTAATTGACACAAAATGTGTTGAAGAGAGAGGAGGGAGAGAGAGAGAGAGAGAGAGAGAGAGAGAGAGAGAGTGTGTGTGAGATGTAGAAGTCTCCAGCTGTAATAATTCCTATGAAACTCTAGCATTGGAATGTTGAAGGTAACATCAATCAGCTAAGTGACAACCCTTTTACTTATATATATATATAATTAAAGAATATCAAACACTTCAAATCCGATAGGTAACTTTTTTTTTTTTTTCATAGGTCTTGGATATTGAGAGCTTCTGTTTTTTAGAGCTCTCATGGAATAAAAATTATTACCTATCAGATTTGAAGTGTTTGATAATATTTTTGCCCTGTCCTTTGACATAAAGCTCTCCCTTGGTTCTATATCCTCCTGAAATTCCATACGGATTACTATATTGTATCATTCATATATATATATATATATATATATATATATATATATATATATATATATATATATATATACACACCTCTCAGACATCAGAACAAGATATTTGTCAAGATTTTAAAGTATTACAAGCATTTTTATTAAATTTGACAAAAGAAACAAAAATTACCTGATTCAGTTCATTCAACACTTTATAAGCAGATTCAATCTGTTTTTTTGACAGTTTTCCGAGAGGCATTTTTTTCAAGTCAATCTGTAAATAGAAAAAAAAAAAAAAAAAAAAATTCAATTTTTTTCTTAAAAATAAGCTTGAAGAGAAAATAAAATTTCATTTAACAAAGCAAGTTATTCATTTTGAAAAAAATACTTTGTTAAAAACACAATGAGAAGAAAATAGGAAAAGTAGAGCTATGGTTTAAAAAAAACCAAAAAAAAAAAAAAAACCCAAAAAACAAACAGAGTGGGAAGAAATTAATCTGTCAAACCCTACATCAGGATGAAGCAACTGGTACTAAGATTCATTGTACAATGCAACATGTTACAAGCAGTCATCCAAGGTCAATTATTAATATTACAAACCCAAAATGAGGCACTGTGTATAGTGTTGTACAAATAAGGGCTATCTGGTAAGTATGTCTTCTGCACATATATCCCAAGGAAAACAATGTTTGGATATAGACCTGGATAGATCACTGGCATTAAACTTAAGTCTTATTTGAGCCAATGTCACTTATCTGTTACCATCATCAATTCTGGCCAGACACCTCTAGTGATGATTACAATGATTTACAAAGAAATATAGGAAAATCTGTTTTCACTTATCACCTCTAATTTTTGAGACATACATGTATCTTCTTGGCTTGGCTTTGCGAATGAAGATTTATGAAGTGGGCTGTCCACGTTGCTTGCGGGCACACTGATGGGCAACTGGGCTGCTGTGGGACAGGCAAGTCCGACCGCAATGACTGCAATTAAAGGTCTAGTCTGGTATAGCTGCTGAGCCTTCCTGGTCCTTCCTCCCATGGCATTTCTCCTTCAGGTTGGCCCATATATGTATACATAGATGTAAAATGTATATGCATTCAAGGCTGCCAGATGTGTCCTATTTAGGACATTGTTTTTTTTTTTTTAATTTAAAATTTTAGGAATTATATATATATATATATATATATATATTATATATATATATATATTTATATATATAAGATCACTGACATAATGGCTGTCTTTAGCAGCCTACGCTTGGCCCTGCAAGCTAAATTTCATTACAGTGAAATCCTCTTCACATTCCAATGCCCTACACACATGGATGTAACTATATATATATATATATATATATATAAAATCAATGTCTATGTTGTTTCCCATATTTTTGTGAGCTGTTTGCTGTACTATGATGTGTATGCATGGCATTGTTAGGGGAAGCTAATTTCTTTCCCCTGTAAAGGACAATAATTCAAATTATAATTGAGTTACTTCCCTTGTATGTGAAGCTGAGTGTGCCAATTCTGAATTGAACATGGCGACAACCTGACATGCAAGTGGAATTCATTGTTCCAATTCATGCAATCCTTGCTGTTCTCAGTGAATGAATAAAGGTTGTTTATTTATGTGTTAAAATACACTTGACTTATTTTCATTCATCCCAACAGTCTGGGATAAAATGAGTATTATCCAAGTAATTTAGTTTTGTTAATGCTTTGTATCTATACAGATTTTTTTGCAATATGCTTTTGTAATAGATAAAATAAATACATTATATTTTGAATTGATATGCAGTATAATAAAAATGTGTGAAAGCAAAAAAAAAAAAAAACTATAGATGATGGAACAAAAAACCTATTCACATGCTTGCCTCTGAGAAAAAAAGATTTACTTTTTGTAAACCAGAGTTATTAAGACCCCATGTTTGGCAACAGTGGGCAGTAAGTGTCCATTAAGTATTCCTAGTACACATGACACCATAGATTGGGAAATTTCAGAAACGAGAAGTGCCATTTGTCTGGCACTCATTATTATGCTGTTTGAACTCCAATAAATCACATCACCTTGACTAAAAGTCAAAGCATTACTGATATAGGTCTGGCCATTTCTATGACATCAAGGTACAGTGGTGCCACCTACCATTGGCACATTGGTGTTGTTTAAGAAATTTAAATTTTTTTAAATTAGGACGTAACCTTTATCAGGTTATCAAAGCAAAAAAACATTTTAACATTGTAAGAGTTTTTCTTTTTTAGATAATATTTTATTGATACAAGTCCTACTAATTAACCCATAGTGGGGAGGAGAAGAGATGGATTCATAATTTTCCCCAAGGGTATTTGCCCGCAAGTGAATATGACGAACTGACAGAAATCCTGATTTCCAATTCTGAGCCATTAACCATTTATCCCACACACACAACACAGCTTACAGAAGCTGGTATTTCGAAGCGGTCACCCATCTGGGTACTAACCACTCTCAGCGCTGCTTAACTTCGGTGATCATATGAGAACTGGTGTTTCAACATGATATGGTGGTAAGCCTTTCCAAACAATAGTAAAAACAATGGAGATTTTGATAATTTTGAAAAACAGTAAAGTCTTTATTTATAATACTTTATTTTCCACTCTTTTCTGTTTAGAACAAATATATATATATATATATATATATATATATATTCATTTTTAAAGTATCCCATTCAATCAAAATCTTTTAAATATAACTATAAACCCCCACCCCAATCAGTCCCCAAAATAAGAGTATGTCTCATATCCCCAAAAATATGGTACCAAGATTTAAGTATAGAATCTAGCTGTGGTAATAAAATAAGCACATCCCATTTCCCCTCTTGCTTATAACCATCCATTATAATAAGATAAACATTTTCGGTGCCGAGTTGAATTAATCAAATAAAGCTTCATAAACGTCTTAGAATTGATATATTACACTACCTGATTAAGGAAATGGGTAAATCTTATCTGTGATTTTTTTTTAATCGACTTACGTTGGTTGAATATATAACTGAACACAAACAAGTCTGGCATATGGCTAAAGTTAGATGCATTTTGTTTATAGCATGTGCCTGGAAATTTTTTTTTTTTTTTTAAATAATATATGAAAATATCTAGATGAAACAATGATTGATTAAATTTTCATTTTAGTGCATCTGAAGCAGAAATTCATTTCTGATGATATCTGAACATTTTACAAAAAGTCTAAGAGTTTGGGAAGAAATAAATACTGAATAGAAAAAAAAAAAGGTTCCAAATATTAATGCAAGAATTCGTAAGAATTAGAAACAGTTCACTCACCTCAAATTCCATCATGGCCTTTTTCATGCTTTCAATATCAAAAATGATACGGACAAGGTCTTGAATGGCTTTGTGCAACTTGGATTTACTTTTGCTCAAATCAAGTTTCTTTATGTTCTCGTCCTCCTGAAAGAATTAAATTTCAAAAGATTATTTACACACATACACACACACTTGCAGAATCTATTAAATATTTTATTTTCTATTTATGAAACAATTTAAAATATTTTAATTAAAATTCAGAATTAACAAATTTTACAAAAGAAAGAACTATTTAATCTTTGAAGAATTTAAATTATTTTTTATTTGAATATAATTGCTGTATTTTGCACTCCATCCAAAGTCCTAAAATCGCTCTTCATCCAAGATATGCTGAAGTTCATTAAAGCCGCATATGTAAAAGAACCTCCTCCACCTCCAGTGAAATCCAGAGTATACTCTAATATATTTATTTCTGTCAATTTTATAACACATTTCATGGTAAATCTAGAGTTGTCTCTTAGTGAGAAAATACAGTAATCAAATGCAATTACCCAAAATCAATGTTAAATTGAAAAAGAATTTCTGCCAATTTATTTGGAAATTCACAAACAAAATCTAGATGTGTAGGCAGGGTTATCTGCAGATAAAGAATTTAATTTTTATGTTTCTTTTTTTTGTTTTTACACATTTTTTTTCTATTTATTAATATTGAAATACATTTCACTTCAGTGTTTGTTATTTAATAATCTATTCTAATGTTAGAAGAGAAATATCAGTGTTTGCCACTTGTTTACATAAGCCAGAGTCTACAGAAAGCAAAAGGAAGAAGCAAAAACTGGGCACTCCATTTTAAACTTACAAGAAAAATTTAGCAATAATATCTTACAAGAAAATTCCTTCAGCAATTTTGGAATGCAAGAAACAATTCCATATAAATATTAATTTTTTTTAAATTACACATATTACAAATATTTTGGCACACTGATAAGTATATCAGCCATACTGGGTTAAATATTTCTTTTGGAATTGATAATTTTTTTCCTTACCTAACAAGAGTCTCTACCAGAAAGAGGAATGTATTTCACTTTATATTTTCCAATATAAAGAAAAAAAAAAAAAAAAAAAAAAAAAAAAGAAAGCTAACCTGACCATAATCAATCTCCAAAGGATAGAATTTGTTAGGGAATTTCTGGAAGTTGTGACGGTCTTCCCAATTATTGTTGGTTTTATCACTGTATAGAGCTTTGAATTTTTCAATTGCAGAACTTCGGGATCCGCAACGTTCAAGCTTGTTCCCACCAATGGTTGTGCCTACACGGCCCCAGGAACGGAAAACATACCAACTGAGGAGGAGAGGGGAAAAATAAAAATAAAACATTGCTGAACATATGATAGAGAATATAAAAATTATCAAATTAAATCATTAATTTTCACATATTTCTTTCATCTTATTACAGTTGCTTTTACAGTAGTAATAGACTTCAGTTGTCTAAATTTGTCTATATTTCTGAGATGAGGTATTATGTACACTATTTACATTATTCAAACTATTGTCCTCATCTTTGTCGCCATATTTATTACAACGTTTCAGCTATTGTACACTCCAGCCTTCTTCAGGTGGTTGGACACATGGCACAGTGGATAAAAGTGTTGGTTAGATCCAGTGACAGGACCCTAAGAGTGTGAGTTCAATACCCAGTTAAGGCAGTGGAGAACTTGGAGAGCGGAATTAACAGGAGATAATTGACATCCATTAAACATGGCACGTGGAACTAGAACAGTCTACTCCAGTGAGCAAAATAAAGGGTTCAGTTCAACATTCCAACCACCTGAAGAAGGCCGGAGCATACAATGGCCGAAACGTTGTAACAAATATGGCGACAAAGAGGAAGACAATAGTTGTCTAAATTTCTTCAATGAAGTACTATTCACTTATGACTGGAATTTTCTTCATATTAACTTCAGCAGATTTTCTTTTTTTTATTGCTACTCCCAAACGTTCATCAGCAGTGAGAAGCAAAAATAAAAAATAATATTTTTACAAAATCTGAATCAGCATTTCCAGGAGACTTTCTTTCAAATATCACCATACAGGAAAGACATTGTCAGATGTTTTCACATACAAATCATTCAATTTGATACAAAAAATAATGACTTAAAACATGGAGGAATTTAAACTATAACCTGTAATGATTGCCACAATTAATACACAGGAGAAACTTCAAAGAATTTAAATAAATTATATGAACACAAAGATCTTATTACAAAACAACACACTCAATGCATTAGTCCGTGAATGTAATAAATCTGACCATAAACTCCATTAAAAAAAAAAAAAAAATTTTTTTTTTAAAAATGCTGCTTTAATTAACATAGAAAGTAATTTACCAAGGTAAAAATGTATAGAAAGTGCATGGATTTGTGAATCTTCTACAGTAAATTTGCCTGCAGGTTTTACATTTCACCTTTCTTAAACCTTTTTGTCACAATGTAGCATATTTAAAAAACAGTGACAAGAACAAATGTGAGCAACTAAGCTGTGTGCCTTGACACATCATGTACCAAAAATTTTAAAATTTAGTGTTCCTATATCTTCAGCGCATAATTATAAATGATTACATTGGTATCTACTCCCTCTCTATATATATATATATATATATATATATATATATAAAACACTTTAATAAATAAGATCCGATTAAGTCCTTTTAGAGTCCGAAAAATGTTACATAGGTAATTGAATGGCAGTCAAAAAATTCTAACAAATCATTCAGTGTAATTTAAAAAGTATGCAAAATAAGAAAATTAAAATTTGGTAAAAAAAAAAAAAAAAACACTTTTATATGAAGCGTGCTGAGAAAAGTTTTTGGCCCAACCCACTTCAATTCTGACCAAATGACCAAACATTAGAAATTCTTATGTGGAAGAGCGTCTGTTGGGCCAAAAACTTTTCATCACCCCCACCCCATAAATAATTATAAATTCTATCAAAAACCTATGTTAAATCATCAATAAAAATCTCGCAAAGACATTCATATGATTATAAAAGAATAAAGCTTTAAAATAAAATTGAAAAATTCATTAAATATTAATTCAGTTAAATCTTAATTCTATCAGACACAAAATCTGCTTAATAGCAATAAATAAACAATTTTTTTTTTTTTTTTAAATATAATTTTCTGAAATGAAACGAGCAAAATCATCTTTAATTCAAAAGCATTTTTGAAAATAAAAATTTTAAATCAATTTCTGAAAAAAATCAAATTAACTTTGGAATCGTTCTCACCAAGATTTGGCATCAGTTTCCAAAGCCTGAATCTTGTAATAGGAATTGGTACCAGAAATTACATCAACCAAACCTAGTACAGCATTATAAATGTCCGATTTTTCTTGGATCACATGAGCAGTATCAGCCAATTCTGTGGAGATAAAAAAAAAAAAAAAAAAAATTCAATTCAATGCTTTATATACTCGCAAGAATGTTCATAACTTATGCACTTAAAACAAATGATATTCAAAGGAGATAAAAATGATAAGATTTATTTCAAGAGGTTTTTCATGATACACAAATATATACATACATAGATATTTTTTTTTGAGACATGTTTCATTGAATAATTTAGACAAGTTTTGTCTACTTATTTTGAGTTGAATCCTTTCATATTCATGGACAAGTTTTCTGGTGTCATTATTAAAGAGAAAAAATTGCCGTGTTGATACAGCTTTCAGACGAACACAGCAATTTTGTCTTTGAAAATGATGAACACTCCAATATTTGCCCTGAAATAGACAACACCTTAATGATGACACTATGTCAAAAGTACTTGGAATAAAATAATATGCATCAACATGGGAATTTTCTCTTTCTTTAATAACAATGTCAGTGTGTAAATTACTCTCTCAAGTAGTTTGTAACACATTATTTAGCATCTCTGTTGTGTGTATCTTTGGGCAGAGTGCGCTCAGGAGCGGCTCTGTCAAAGAACAGAGTTACAACTGAGGAAAATTATACCGAGAGGTCAGGCCCTGGGGAACAGCTGTCCGAGGCCACACCCTCTCATTGCACAAGAGAGAGGGATCGGTGGATGCACCAAGGCCAGCGCAACCAACGGTTTTGGGGAATTTTTGCTCCTAGCCCAAATGTACGCACTTGGACTCCCCACATTAAACCGACCTTGTGTCACAACCTGACCTCATGGGGGTGGGGTGATTGAGTAGATACAATAAAAATAACAGTGTCATTCCAAGTCTTAAAATGTTGCAAGAGAACGAAGCTGACAAGCTGAACTCCAAATAATTGTGCTCCCATGTTGGTGCTCAGAGTCAATGTTTATATGTTATTTTTATAGATATAAATATTTAAGTAAATGTAAACAGTATTAACTACATTTACCAGGCTGAATTTGACTTTCTCTGGAGATAAATGGTATAGCATGTCAGGCTATATGGCGGTTCCTTGTAGGATGCATATTTTCTACAAAATTTCTTGGACATTCAAGCTGGTAAATGTAGTTAATACCGTTTATTATAAACAGCATTTACTTAAATATTTGTATCTATAAAAATAATATATAAACAGTGTGTGTGTATATATATATATATATATATATATATATATAGGAGAAACTAATGTCTCTTTCTCTCTAAGTAATAATACATGCACATATATGGAACATTTATCAATCTAACATGTTTCACTTTTATTAAAGCTTCATCAGAGATTGAGAAAAAGGGACAAAAAGACAGAACTTTGGTATTTTCAATATTGTTTGATTTTCATTGGTCTGTCATGTATCATGTGCATTAAAAATGTAGATAATTCTATATCTATGTAACTTTGTAAAAATTCCAATATGTCTAAATAGGCATTGGATGGTAATGTGTATTCGTAATGTGTGTCTAGTAGAAGGAGTTCTGTTGTTTTGATTTTTGTGTAGTCAGTCAATGTAGTTGAGTATGCAAGAAGGAAAAAGACAGAAAACTTACCAGAATCAGGATCTACAGCTGCCCCTCCTTTTACCATCATTCGTAGTTTGTCAGGAATTGCTTTAGTAAAGTAAGCTTCTGGAATGGTAATAAAACTGAACATTAACAGAAAAGAAAATAATTTAAAAAATAATAATAAAGAAAAAAAAAAGATCTAAATTCTTTAGCTAAACAAAGTAATTACACGCTAACTTCAATCAGGCAATGCTGAGGAACAAACCGTTTTTTTTCCTTTCCTAAAAGCATCACCATATTTGGCAATGTTGTTCTTAGAATAATTACCTCATCTAGATGTTTAGAAGAAACTACAAAAACAGTTGGATTTGTTAATTATGTCCATACACCATTTTCAATCACCATTAAATGAGAGGTTAATATTTGTTAGTGTCTTTTAGATGAACAACAAAGTTAAAGTTACAAACCTTGAATATTTGAATGAGCACAGAAAAGAAAACGGAGTTATTTCGTATGACAAAATTATTCAATAAGGAATTAAAAACTACATCCAATACTTTGTAACATTTTTTAAAATCTTTCTCAGCAAAGTACTGCTCTAGGTTCCTTTTACTGTCTTCCAGGGAATTTTTTTTTTTTCTTATTAAGAGAATTCTATAAAGACCAGGCTAAATGCTAATTCAAATATCTGGTGAATATGGTGGAAGAGTGAATACTTCACAGCCAAGCAGTAAGAACTTTTACCTGGTCATCAAATTAGTGTTAAATTTGCTGATAAGCTTTAATCTATGACATCTACTGAATAAAAAATAAAATAAAAAAAATAAAAGAGATTGACAATGGTCGAGAATTAATGTATCCATTACAGACAGAGATTAATATTTTTATATGATGTCTGAATGAGTTTAGTTTGATATCTGTAATATTGAAGAGATTGCTTAGATAAGTGCTTTCCTCACAGATTACTAAATCAGCCTCTAAATAAAGTAATCGGTTTAGTCGTTGACTGCCTGACCATGTGACTGGGTCACATAGTAGCCATTACATCAACATACAGAAATTCAAAGAGGCTTATTTTTACACATGACAAAGAAATTCAAAGATTTCTATTAGCATACGTACAGAAAGTTTCAATATTATCTTTTGTACTATTATTCTGCAGGAATTTATCTATTATTGTTACACTTTCCTACCTAGGATCAGAGTGTAGTATCTGCACAATCCCAGGTTCTTTTCAGTTGCAATCACATACACATTATGACTAAGAAACTAACACAATATTTAAGCAAGAACAGAGGAAAGGTAAGAAAGCTAGAGAAAAATGAAGAGAGGTCCAGGTAAAATGAAATTAAATTCAACCAACAAAGTTTGTCTTTTTTTTTCTTTTTTTTTTTTCTTTCTTTCTTTCTTTCTTTCTTTTTTTTTCTTTTTGTATTTTTCCAATTTTTGAAAAATCAAAATTGTGAATAAACTGTCCAAAGTTGATGTTTTTGCTCAAGTACCTTCCAGCTATTTCAGTCATTATCAAGAACTAGGTGCTGTCAATGTTGTAGACAAGATTTTGTTGCCTACATCCGGGCATTTATTATGGAATGCTATGTATTCAAATATACACCTATTGTCTAAGTGACATAACATGCAAAAAACAGCACTACATAAATATATAAAATTACTTTATATGGATTAATATTTCAGACACACATTAAAATACTATCTCCTTTGATGAAATATATTTTATTTAATTTGGATTTTAGTGTATGTGCGTGTGTATACATGCAATAGATGAGGGAAATCAATGGAGATGGGACTGGTTGCCAGCCAGAGACAATGAATAAAACATTGAAAGACAAAAATTGTGATGTGTGTGTGTGTGAGTGAGAGAAAACAATGCAATAAAAAATATTTCTTATTTGTATATGGAACTTACCTATATTTGTAGGACAGAAAAAAAACGCACACAAAGATTGGAAGGGATAAGGGAAAGAATGAGAAGATACAGTTAAAGAATGAGAATAGTATAATGGTATGAGATAATAGATAATTTTAGTCGTATTGGAAGGGATATGGGTGAAAATAAGAAGATACAGGCAAAGGTTCAGAGAACTGAACAGATAACAAATAACCTTAGCCATCAAAACCTGTGAAAACTTCACAGATCAAATTTGTTTAGAAAAATATTCAACATTAATTTATTTCTAATAGAGGTGACTCCAGACCTTTTAATCAAAATCAAGTAGAAAATTTGGTGAAATGATATAAAAATCATAGTTACCATCCTTTGCATTATTTGATGATTTTGACCCACTTTTCATGACAGTTGGTTCAATAATTCGCTGCTGAGGCTGAAATTAAAGATTCAGCCAGAGTGAATTATTAGAAAAACACCAAAGTGATAGAAAAAATATATACATAAATTGCATGTTAATAAAAACTTACAATTCAAATTATACTTGTAATTTAAGAGTTACTCAGCCAATGTCGAAAAGGAATATTAGTCAAAGAAAAGGAAAAATTCTGCTTGACTGGGAGTTAATAGTTTTATTCTTGGTGTAGCTTTTTCTTCTAAAACTCTCAGTTGATACAAGTTTCATTATTATTATTGCTTTTTCTTACAAATCCAAATTACTAGTTTTCCTACATCGTATTATTGTGGCTTTTTAACTCAACTCTCATTGAATATATTTTTCATTATTACTATTATTTTATTAAGAGTTTTATTTCATACTAGCAGCATGGCCCGGCGTTGCCCATGCTTGATTCAAAAATAGTACGACTAATACAGCAATCACTATCACTTGACTTAAAATATTTTTGCTCTTCCTTGCCTTTAAAGGAGTGACCTTTGCCGTGCTGATGTTGTTACATGCCTTACTTCTTGCCTATATCACACTGCCAACTTTTTCTAAGCTCTATAGTAAACATTAATCTGTTACGAAAAAAGAACTAAACAAAATAAACAATACGATCAGCTTTAAAAAGCCGGAAAAAACATCTTTAAGGGTTGACCGATTGTTGATTTGCACTCTGTTGGGGGGTGCTCAGAGTTGAACCCCCCCCCAATGGCCTCTTCATAAATCCGCTCGGTTTTCGCTAAAAACCGACATGCAGTTCAGACGCAATCTGGGCCTATCGGTTTTTGGGTTTTATCAATTTTCCGCACTGTTTAGGGGTCCGTGGTCATGAAACTTCTGGACAACACTTCTAATGGTAGACTAAGAGGGTGTCAAATTTGGTTAAAATGCGATCATTCTTTCTGTAAGCAGAATTTTTTCAATTATCGATTTTTTCGGAACCTGATTCCGAACTCAAAAAACAGGCTCTGTCATGTCCTTATGGCAGCCATTTGCAAACTTGTGCTGAAAACCGCATCGAAATCGGGTGAGAAATGCGGCCTGAGTGAGGTAACAACGTCCACGACAGACAGACAACATGAGAAATATAGATAGTAGATGATAATTGTTGTTGCTTTTTATCTAAGTCCTTAGATCTTTTATAGAATCTTTCAGTCAATTTTTTAACTTGCCATTATGTATTGGTACCATATTATTATTTTTTTTCTGACTTTTTTTTAAATAACAATCTTAAAATTTCAACATTTTTTTTTTCCAGCTCTAGCTATTTACTTTATTATTTTCTAACAAGACAGGCTGGTCCATAAAGAATGTGAAGAGGAGTGAAAATGTGTTATGGATGAGAAAGATTATTAAAGTGAAAGGAGATAGTGATGGATTTAAAAATAAACCATCAAAACTTACATCATCTCCCCAAGATGCAATACTATGCTTCTGTATCATTAATAAAACTCCACCATTTTTGACATCATCAAGGAATCCGGTGTCAACTACATGGATGCCAGATTTCTTGGCAGATTTCATTAGCTTGCTCATTTTCTCAACATTTTCTGTAAAAACGAAATAAATAAAAACTAATTCAAATATTCTGATTTTCTTAAAAGAATTTTAGGCATTTTATGATTTACAAATAAATTTTAGGGTTACTTTCAGCTTTTATGATTCAGATAAATAGGCATAATAATAATAATAATAATAATAATAATAATGGAAAAAAAGAAAACCATGAATAATTTTATGTACTTTTAATCAATAGAAATTTTGTTTCCTCTAGAATTTCATAAGTTTTTAGAAATATTAACTTAAGATTGGGGAAAAAATGCTAAACTGAAACTTTACTTTCTGTACAGCCTTGAAACAGTTATTTTATTACTGTCATGTAGTCTACTCATCATGACAATAAAATTTAGCGCTTCCAAATTGTGTATTTTAAGAATAAATATTGGCGTTACCTAAATTTTATAGTCTATTTTCTTTACTATTTAATGGTTAAACTGAATTGTTACATAGCTATTTATTTTTTTTTATTTAACCTTATTTAGACTATGCAGTCATACTGATGTGCTCACCCTTGTTATCACTGTTACCCCAAAAACATTTTGGTTGTTGTACCTCTCAACCCAGAGCCCAATT